ATTTCTGAATAAATGGCCTTTGGTGGCTCATTCATCTGTAAAGTGTATCTAAAATTACAAAAATAAAACTAAACAAAACCAGCACAGTCAGTAATTTTATAGTTAACAAAGTTGCATCGTTACAGCGCTATTGTAGTATTGCTGTGGTATCATTGCTTTCTCAGAGCTTTAGTGTTTTAGCATAATATTACTGTTAAAATACTAACTTAATGCTATAATTGCAGTGTCATGGCTGTAGTATTGTAGTTCTTACATCCCAATAGGCTGAGTGATATAACTGCACATTTACAGTGTTGGTAATGCAGTATTACAGAGTTACATTAGTATTATATTATTACATTGGTAGAAATTTAGTATTACAGTGATATTGTACTGTTATGGTGGTATTATTGCAGTATAAACATGGCAACAATTGACACATGCATTATTAATAGTAGCAGTTAGTATAACATGAGTTGTCACATCGTAGTGTAGTTATTGTAGACCAGTAAGTCTTATGATATAGAGACATTGTGTATTTCAGGCTATTTTAAACAGTGATATTATTGTGGCTTTACCTGGTACTGTTCTAGTGTTGCTACCATATTATTGTATTGTTGTGATTGTATTATTCCAGTATTCTGGCGGCATTACTGTAGTATTGTATTTGTTGTCGTAGTATAGGATCGGGTGGTTTATGTGACATTCCTTATCTTCCGTGTTTGTGAAGTTAATTAAATGATCAGACCTGTAGCAAGTTGATGTAAAAGCTGCTGCTGTAGTTGGAAGCTGCTTGTAATTAGCACATGTGAGTGCTAATAAAACTGCTGTGGTGACATCTTTGAATGATTGTGTTGTAATACTTTTGTTCTTCTTCTTCCAGGATGATGGCGAAGATGATTAAAGGTTTCAGTCAACACCTTTTCTCCATCCTCGCTCCGTGGTCTCTCTTCAACTCATGGGAGCAAATTTCGTTTTTTTGGTTGTTTTCTGGGGTGGGTGGGTTGGGGGGGTGGGGTCTGTGTGTTGTCACCCTGTCCGTCCTCTTCCTCTGCAGCCACAGCCTGCAGATAATGTCTGAGGACCAGCTCCATATACAGCGGGTCTGCAGAGGGGTGGAGGTGCAGGTGTCAGTGGCTCTCTGGATTTTTCACCTGTCATTATTTCTCTACATCTCCCAAAGACATGCAAAAGAATTAAAAAAAAATTTGTAGCATTCTGCACGTCATTCTATGTAGATTTAAACTCCATACAATAACAATTTGTATGTACAATAAAAATGACAGTTTCTGTTGAAGTTGTGAGTTCAATAAAAATAAGCCATGGTGCAGTGATAACTTAATCATAGCATCCTTAGCGCATACGTGTGCGCGCATATTATATATTATATATATATATATAATATGCGCGCACACGTACATATAACATACACACATATATCAATACACACGTATGTATATATATATATATATATGTGTGTGTGTGTGTGTATACATATGTGTATGTGTTTATTATTATATATTCAGTGGTGGGGGTAATGAGGCTTATTAGAAGCTGCATTTTCCTTTGTGACTTATTGTATTAATGAACTGATTAAAAGCACCAGCTTGTTCCTTTGAACTGTTGTAAATGTTTTGGGATATCCATGTATCTTGGTAGGCCAGTTAATTGTATACAGTTTAATGGGGGAGGGTATGGTTGGGCAGGGGGACTTTGACACCAACTCTGGACTTCTGTTAAATAAAGTTTCATTGTCTTGTTTTCCAGGCACCCACAAGAAAGAGTTGTAATGCACATTTTCTCATTCTCTCATATATATATATATATATATATATATATATATATAACACTAAAACTCAGAGTCCTAGGTTAGTGTAACACGTTCAGATGGGAGACTGCGCTGTTCTCTTGAGTCCGCAGCTTTTCTCCTGTACTGCTAGAGACCTGTTCCCATTAAATTAAGTGTACTAGTTACTTTGTTATAATAAATAAATGTATACATGATGTTTGGAGTAGTTTGATCACATTTAGCCAGTTCAGCTAACATAACCAATCTCACAACATCCCATTTTCTCATGTGCTCACAGGATTAGTGCTATTAGGCCTGTCCAACGACTTTACACCCTACCACCACTATCTGAGTGATCTTCCTTTCCATGAATGGTAATGCTAGATGCTTTCATGTTCATCTTGAACATCTGTAGCAGGTTAGGTCTACAGCATATGTTACTATGTTTGTGTACCCCTGTAAAAAGTGAACTGCCTTTGACTTGATCCTGTTACATAGCACAGGCCTCTGGTCAAACAGCTGACAAAATCTGTTTGGTGTGTGATTCTTTAATGGTGTAAGCACTGTTTAAGGATAAATCATACTGGGAAAAAATATCTGTATTTGGCAAAAGTGAATTGACTTCAGAAATATTTGTCCAGAAAAGTTAGAATGTCACTTTTATAATTACAACTGGGAGCAGGTTCTGGCTGACTCTAGTGATTAGCTACTTTAAGAAAAGCCTCTTTCAATTTCTTACATGAGAATTATTTGAAGCTACTAGCTCTTCAGTGTGACCTTTACCCTCACTGTTTATGACTTTGCTGCTAGTGGATGTTAAAATAAATTATTTGGGCTGCCTCAGGTTTGAAAACAGTTTTGCACGTGTTTATTTCAATTACAGTTTGGTCACTTTAACAAACTACAATTTGTCTGCAATCAAAGAAGTGTATTTAGTGAACCCAGCAGAGTCGTAGCATGGCAAAGTCAGGTTTACTTCTTAGTTGTTTGGATCACTCATAGTGGGTGGCAGTAAGCAGTCATCTCAGCGTAAGGTGAAGGAATTTCTAACTAGAGTTTATATGCCCTCCCTGTTCTAGTGTGTTTCCTCCCACAGTCCAAAGACATGTTAATTTAACTGGGGTTTCTTACTTGGCTATAGATATGAAGTAGATTAAAGTGCTGTGGGAGTGTTAGGCCTAAAGAAACATGAATGGTCAGTAAGACTAGTAAAGTTATTTCTAAAGGCAAGTACATAGTGTTGCTATTTATATAGAGGCGTGATAAAGAACCAGTAAATATGGACCTATTGTAATCATTCCCAACTCTGGATTTATTCCTGAACTATTCTTGAAAGCTATTAGAGTAGCTTTGCATGTTTCACAGTTCAGAATAATCCTCATTTATCATATGCTGTGTGCTCCTTCAGTTCATCCTCTTAGCTTAATAAATAACTTCTATTCTGATGGGAGCTATCTCTTCCAGAATGATAAAACCTCTCAGCCACAGGACAAAAGAGATTACTTTATGGTTTGACTAATGGAAATGATGTAAATCATAAATTATGATTCTATGTTGTCATACTTCGGTCTGTTTTAATAAACAGAAGTTTATTAACTTTTGCATTAGGCTGAATGAGAGGTAGACTTTTGCACAGCACTGTACAATTAAAATATATCTGCACAATTCTGCATGTAGATTTTGTGGAGTGTTTATTATAATGGGTACAGCTCTGATTAATGTGGACCCCATACATTACAGCATAATGGGCAGGGCAGGATTATGTGAGATTTTAATATGAAAAATATTCTAACACATATATAGATATGTTATAACATAAATGAACTGTGGTGTATCCCATCTTTGGAAAGATGAGTTCAGTTTCTCTAGCCACAATGAAGAAGTCACTTAAATAGGACCTGCCTGACAAAGTGGGGTAGACCAAAAGATCCTCAAAAGTCAGACATCATGTGGTGATCCAAGGAAATGTAGGAACAAATGAGAAACAAAGTAACTGAAATTTCTCAGTCTGGAAAAGGTTTAAAGCCATTTCTAAAGCTGTGGGACTCCAGCAAACAGTGAGAGCCATTATCCACAAATGGCAATGACAGCTCATCCAAGAGGTCACAAAAGACCCCAGAACAACATTCAAAGAACTGCAGGCCTCACTTGTCTCAGTTAAGGTCAGTGTTCATGACTCCACCGTAAGACAGAAATGGGCAAAAATGGCCTGCATGCAGAGTTCCAAGACGAAAACCACTGCTGAGCAAAAGGAACATAAAGGGTCTTCTGAGTTTTGCCAGAAAACATCTTGATGATCCTCAAGACTTTTGGGAAAATACTACAAAAGGGCTGCAAGCATAAAAACACAATCTTCACTCACCACTGGCTATATTTGCATCAAGAGATACAACTACAGATGACCGCTTAACAGCCACTGCTCTTAAAATGGTTCAAGCACATACAAGGAGATCATCTTGACAGGATACATGGCCAAATTCATACCTGGAAAGGTTTTGTCTTGCATAGACCCATCACAGAGGTTTGCAAATCATAAAACTCAATAAGTAAATCCCCAAAGGTTGATTCTGTTTATCTGGACGTAGCGTTTTCAGCGGGACAAACGTTTCGTCACTCATCCAAGCTTTTAAAGCTCAAAACACACTGCGCCCAAAATTCGTCCACCCTAAGGATCGGGTCCCCCGACACAAACAGAGTAATGTAGTTAATGTAGTACCATCTTACTGTGAGTGCAGCCATCCCCCAACTCTCTGTGAATGATACTCATGGCTATTGATTATTGGTTCCTGATTAATTTGCATATTAATGACCAAGGAACTGAACTCACAGCCCATTGTTCATTCAGTGGTGCTAGTTTCAGTCACCGTGCAAATGTACTGCTTCTAATAAGGAGCGGGAAACCTGGAGTCAGCTCAGACTGAAGAAATCACTTAGATAAGTGACGAAACGTTTCTCCCACTGCAAACTGTCCGAATGAACGAAGTCGACCTTTTGTTCGGTGACAGGCTGATAAACTCCTAGTTTTTATTAAAGGGTTGTGTCTTAGTTTTTTTAACAACATACAGGAGGGTAATCTTTTAGACTATACAACATTGTTTGTATGTATTTTAAAAGAAATGTAATTATCAACCGCCGCAATTAGTGAACACTGGTTTAACGCTGAAGATGTCCGCTGGTTCACGCCTACAAACACGGAAGTGAATGTGGGATTTATTTCTTGCCTCGAGTGATAATCTCAGTAACCACGGTAACGCCAGCTTTATGTAAAATGGCTCCAAAGGCGTCAAACGGCCCTCGGAGTTCTTACTGTTTAGCTAATCAATGTTAAAATATTTGATAATGCCTTTTTATTAGCATGTTCGCAGACGAAGCCCTGGACACGGTGAGTGTCCAGTCACTGTGGAGGAAGTCTCACGAGGCGGCGCAGGAGTCGGTAAGTTTGGGCAGCACCGAGTCTGCCCCCACAGAACTCTGTTAGCCTGGACAGCGACGTGCTTGCTGTCTACAGTTGCAGAATATTGGTTGGATCCGAAGCTAACTTTAGCTGATACAACACATGCGTGTTCAGGTGTTCTTGGGTGGACACATTTGCATTCAGAGGAGAATGCATTGCAAGATGGCATCATGAAATATGCAGCATCAAGCAAACAGGGACATTTCATGCAGACTGCACC